TACAGAAACTAGTACCTGTTTATTGCAAAAATGTTGATAAGAAACTCGCTGACCCCCAAGACCCCAGAAGAGCGAGACAAAGTTCAGTGGAATGTAATAATTGTTAAAAAAACTGCATTTATTATTTTAATTTTATATGAAGTTGACATAATCTTAACAATTACCTTGTAATTTGATTTCAATTGACGTAGAATGGAACGAACGGAAGCTTGATGACACGAAAAAGTCTAACAAAAAATAGGCATACATTTAAGTTGAGTTCAGCTAGGGTTGCTAGCTGCTAGCTACTCTCAAAACTGATTTTATCTAAATTCCTAAATAATAGGTTTTTACCTATGAAATTGCCGTTCTTCAGTACTGGCCATTTCAAATCAAAATAGTTTTTGTTAGGCTAAGGCTAATTTGTTTTAAAAACATAGGATTCTTTTTCCAAAAGTAGTCATTTGTTTATTGATTAGTGTTACATTTTCATCGCATTTCAAATCAAAAAATTCGTTTAAATTTTTTCATGCAAAACGGCAATTTCATAGGTAAAGACCTATTAATACTCCTAAGTGTAGAAGAGCCATGCATCATCACGAATGAATCGGCTCGACCGTAGTATTACCACGGCCTCACAGAAGACCAGCGTGAAGTGACACTTACGTTTTGTCGTGTGAGTGAAGGTACCGGATGCCCAATCCCCACATCCACTATCCTAAAATGCCCTATCTATAAATCCCTAACCATACACAAGAGTATAGTACAGTAGAGTATAGAGATAGTAATTCCTTGGTGGTACGAGTTTCCAATTCAAGTCCAATTGCTTACCATAAGGTATTCCGTCTGCTCAATAAACCCAATAATGCAGCAGGAGAAGGAGTAGCAATGAGGTTTTTTACTTAGAAAGAGTGTGGCAGTCCTCGCATTCAGCAGATGATTATTTTCCCTCAAAAAAGAACTTCTTTCACCACCTTTCAAAAGTTACAACCTTAGTCAAGGCTCTTTGTAATCCTTTGGTGTTGCAGATGTCCATTACAGGCGAACGATTGCTTACCATCAGGTAATCCCTAAGCTCGTTCGTCGAGACCTCCAATTAGACCTCCAATGCCTCAGAAAATGTTTAAATATAGATATCTAGACAGACAGATTTATTTCGTTATCTTCTTTAGAAAAAAGCGATATGTGTTGAAGAGGGAGATTTTATCATTTATTATCAATATCAATTGAGATAAGCAGATTTGAGTGTGATGACGTCATATAAATAACATCCGAGCTACTTTTCTTATCATAGAACTAGAATGTCTATAGAAGGTTACAATACTCTAAGTATTTATATGGAATTTCTTTACCTTTTTGCTCATCAAAAAGAAGTAGCATGGACTATATTTTGTTTGTATAGATAAGTTAGGAAAGTCTGAATAGTGTTATATTATTATACTTACTAATTTTCCTTACGATAATTGATAAAAACCACAAACTACATATAACTAATATAATAGTAAATTGTATCGTTTTCTGAATAGTACCGCATAGAACTAATGACCGTATTTTTTATATCTATATATATTTATTTTATATATTTTGTATTACCATTTATTACGTAATATCTACTCTCGCCCTGGGTGAGAGTAAGAGAGAAAGAGAGAGTAATATTCTTAATAAATAAAAATCACCTCGTTTATTGGGGCAAATCTGTGGTAGTCTATTGACTCTTCTACTAGGTGAAACTCTCTTGACGACTCAACCGCTGCTTACGTTGGCCACAGATCGTCGCGCGATTCCTTATGGCCGGAGTTGGTCTTCTCGTGGGAGTTGGGCATGAGGATAATAAGAGACATCCATAAACCATTACCATAATAAGAGACATCCATAATAAGAGACATAAGAGACATCCATAAACCATATGTCTTCTACGAGCCCCTAAAGTGGCTTGAATTCAGTCGAGATATTCGCGAGAGTAGCTAGTCTCTTTTATATTCTTGTTAGTTTATTTTGATATAACCTTTAGTTTTTTTGGGCTACAAAGTCATCAAGTTACTCTCCTCGCCCTGGTTCAGGTGTGGTATATACCCTAGAATATAATGAATAGTAAACATATTTACGGGATTTGAAAAACCCTTTCCTGCTCAAGTCGAGACCGCGGTGCCTCATTGCGCTTCCCCGCAGCGGACTGAACATCAGCCCTATAGGGCCCCGTCTATGCGTTGTACGTCGTCGTCTAGCGTGGAAAGCTACGCGCCGTACGCTTGGGTCTGGTTGTGGTCAGGCGGCGAGCTACCTTTACTCGCCGACCGCAGACCCGCACTTACGGTGGACGGAGATCATCTCTCGAAACACAATTACCTACGGAATTATTTATTAAACACAACTCCATCTTTACCATCCATAATTTGTTTTATACAATGTCAGCGTAAGAGAATAATAACAATATAATGTTAGTAATAGAATATGATTAAGACAAAATTGCTAATCATAGCATTATGTTAGACTAGCTGAACTTACGACTTTGTCTGTTTTGAATTTAGTTGCGGATATAGCGAGAAATATGTATGAAATACAAACAAAAAATGCTTATCACTAGGATTTTCTCCGGAGTCTCACACCCAGAGCTGAAACAACAATTTGTGGATTACAAATCAAATCAAATCAAATCAAAATCATTTATTCCAAATAAACCATAAATAGGTACTTTTGAAACGTCAAAATAGAATAGTAGTCTGTCAGTCTGTTCGTCAGTGAAGCTAGGTGCTCGTTCCAAATTGTAGTTTCGAATGGAGAAGAACGAGCAAGAAACTCCATCGTTACTCTTTTAAAAAAAATATTTGTTTTACAATTCATCAATAATACATTTTTTATACATTACTGTACCCCTATGTGAGAACAATGCAGAGACAAGTTGTTAATAAAAAGGAACAAATTATGGTCTATTTAATCTATCATTAAAATTTTAATCCTTTGTTGTCTCGTACATGGCGCTCACATATGCGTACTCACAATCCAAAAGAATGCTTCTATATAAACTCATTCAAGGTTTCATTAATTTTGAGAATTTTAATAACTACTGACTACATATTTGAGAATTGTCCAGTGGAGCCGAACCAACATGCTGCCAGGCATTCTTATCCTCAATATAATCTGAAAGTTTGTAGTATGCCTGTCTACATAATTCGCGTTTAATATAAGTTTTAAATTTTCGTTCATTAAGATTTAATACACTTCTTGGAATTTTATTGTAACAATTTACACAGAACCCCATAAAGGATTTCTGTACTTTGGACAGACGGAATCGTGGCACAGCCAGCCTATCTTTGCCTCTAGTATTAAAATTGTGTCTATCGCTTCTTTTTTCAAATAATTGCAAATTTTTCCTTACGTACATAATATTTTCATATATAAACTGACAAGGTACCGTTAGGATATTTATCGTTTTAAATAGTTCTCTTAGAGATTCACGAGGGGACAAGTTATATATCGCTCGGATAGCCCGCTTTTGCAAAATAAATATTGAATCTACTTCCGCAGCTCGACCCCATAGCAAAATTCCGTACGACATAATGCTGTGAAAATAGCTAAAATAAACAAGCCTTGCTGTGTTCACGTCTGTGAGCTGTCTAATCTGTCTAACTGCAAAAACAGCTGAGCTCAGTCTTCCCGAAAGCGTCTTTCACTACACGTCTACACAAAGAGTTGTCCCGTGCTGGACTCGAATCTCCTAATGAGCCACAAATCAACGCACTTATAGTAACTCCTTTGGTATTTCGAGTGTCCATGGGCGACGATTGCTTACCATCAGGTAATCCGTTAACTGGTTCGTCAGTAAGAACAGATTGAACCAAATCTTTGAGTACCTCTAAAGATAAGCGTTCTAATAAGTACACAGATAAACAGACAGACTAACAGACTATGTTTACATTCTTTATTATAGGCATAAAGTAAGTGAAGAAGAATTATTATCAGTAGTCTTGTTGTTCTAACGTAAACAACACCTCTTTGGAGTGGTTAAAATATGAAGTGAAATTTTTATTTTAGTGTGTGAAATAAATATTACCATTTAAGTATTATTAGTACAAAGAAAACTAACTTGAAATCAGGTAAGTGGTTAAGCAATATTAGTTCTCAGAATCAGAATCTCGAAATAATAATGTCGTTATCGCAGACAAGTAGCGAAATATTGGGTTGTGGGTGCAAGACCAATAACTTACCGCGACCCTGGCTCGGAACAGGAGAAGCAGCGGTGAGGTTTTTAGTCAGTAAGAGTCTGAAACTCTGTTTCTCTTAGAAAATGCACTTTCCAACCTCAAAAAACCCTACCCAAAGAAGCCATTTAAGTAGCCAGTTTTGCTAATGATATCGCAGTAGATATAAATTTGATAGTTATTAAATTATGATCGCGATTTCATTTCTGTGACAGTCGTAGTTCTCGAGTAGTAACTCGGTTCTTGTGGCAACCTTTTCACACGTCAATTAAAAGCCTGAAATTCAGCCATACAATCAAATGGTTAGTTATTTAGGCAGATAGTTGAACATCATCATCATCATCATCATCAGCTGAAAGGCCCACCTCTTAGTCTTCTCCGTCGAACGGCAACTAGCCACCTGTATCCATTGGCTCCCCGCGACCTTGACGCTGTCGTCGGTCCATCTAGTTTTCCGGTCCTTAGTCACCATTCAAGTACTTTTCGGGCCCATTGGCCGTCCGTCCTTCAAGCGTAGAACCTACCTAAAACGACTAACAAAAATATATTTTTTATGTTGTAGAAATTAACTTAAACTTGTTATAAATTATACCGCTGTCAACAAGTGCTGTGTAGCGGTTTTTTCCTCAAACAAGTCAATTTGCTATATTTTTTGCTTGCGTATACATAGAATCATGGTCGGTCGCTAGGTATGTATGTATGTATGTATGTATATGTAGGATTATGAAAACATAGCATCATTGTATCATTCTTATCTCTCAGCTCGGAAGATAGTGACCGCTTATAGTAGTATAGTTATTTTTAATATTTTCTTTTTTTTTTGTGCCATTTTTGCGTGAAGTTTGTTGTGTGGATAAAATTATTATTTAGTTGTTGATAGTGTTGACATACGTAGAAGCGGTATTTTGAAATATTGTTGGATTAAACTGCAGTGTCAGAGGTATGTAGACATTTAATAATTTTAAATAACAAATTAAATTAATAATTAAAGGATTATGCTGTAATAATGCTAATTGGTAATAATTGCATAACATTTACGGTGTGGAATTTTAGTGACTCCTTTTTTATTCCAATTTCAAAATCTAATATTTTTTTAACGACGCTGTAAATGAGTTTTAGATTTTCGTTTTTTTTTACTTGATATAAACTAGTGCTTGACTGCGATCCCACCTGATGGTAAGCAGTGATGCAATCATTGATAGTAAGGCGCACTAGTTTATTAAGAGCCTATTTTACCCTGTTTAGTTTGTAAACAGACTAACAAATAATCACAAGATTGTTGATTTAAACACATTTTGTTGCGATTCATTCACATATACATTATATATAAAAATTTTGTGTCCCGTGTTTGTCCGCAATGGACTCCTAAACTACTAAACCGATTTTAAATTTGATTTGCATTCCGTGTGCATTTTGATCCAACTTGAAAGATAGGATAGCTTACATCTCAATTAATAGTCACAATATTATTTACCTTAGCCACAGCAACGCGTGGCTGGGTCTGCTCGTATATTATATAAATATAGATAGATAGATAACAAGAGATATCCAATATTCTTTTTTTTGTGTGCAAATAAAATATTAATATTACTATTACTATTCCCTCTAAGTATTTTGAAACTCTATCCTTACTTTGGGAACAAATCTTTGCTAGCCACATGACCAAAATATTAGTAAATTTTATGTTATTTGAAAAAAATAACCATATTGTTTTATAATCACTTGAGCACAATTTTGTTTTTTAACTTTTCCCCACACTTGGATTTTCTATTACGTCGTGTGTGCGGTTATAAAACATACAATTTGACATACACAAGCCACATAGACCCGAAACAACAATTTTTTGATCACACAAAGATTTGTCCCTGCGGAAATCTTACCCGCGACTAGTTGTCCAGCCACCGCACCAACCGTGCACTCAATTGTTGGGTTTTAAATAATAATAAAATTAATTTTAAGTGTGGGAGAGCCATGCTTCGGCACGAATGGGTCGGCTCGACCGGAGTGATACCACGGCCTCATAAAAAACCGTCGTGAAACAACCACAGCAACAACATTGTGTTTCACCGTGTGAGTGAGGTTACTGGAGGCCCAATCCTTCCCCTCCCCCAACCCCTCCTCAATCCCTAAATCTCCAAATCCCTAATCCCTTAAAGGTCGGCAACGCACTCGTAACACCTTCGTTGCGGGTGTCCATGGGCGGCGCTGATTGCTTGCCATCACGTAATCCGTTTGCTCGTTTGCCGACCTGTTAAATAAATAAAAAAACCTAAAAGTATCACGAATTCGTCATATTTTGTCTAATCTTCATTGTTTAATATTTTATATGCACGTTCTTTAAGTAAAGGTCAACTACTACATTTCGTGTTTTAGTTATATTTATTATATTTTTTTTAATTTTCAAGGTGTCTAGATTATCTATTTTGAATTAGACTGTCAATCAAAACTAGTCTTATAATCTACAATTAAAGCGAATTAAGTTGAAGCAACTATTAACTTTTTTTAGTTTTTTTATGTAATAGGACAGCAGACGAGCAAGCGGATTACCTGATAGTAAGCAATCAAGCGCCGTCCAAGGACATCCGCAACAATGAGAGTTACGAGTGCGTTGCCAACCTTTTTTTTAGGAATCCTTTTTTGTTTCTCGTAAAATCTCATTGGATCTCGCACTCTCGGGCGCCTTAACCGCCCAGCTTTTTTCTTTTTTTTTTCTTTCATATATTATAAATAATAATAATTATTTTAAATTTTGATATAGTAATATTTTAAGATTATGATCCAAATCGGCTACGAGCCCCTTCAATCAAAATCATCTGTTGTTGGAAACAGTAGTTAAAACTAGAAAGATAAACAGGTCAGGAGTTTTATTTTTATCTATCACTCTGATAAGTATTTTAGACTTGTCTGAAATCACAAAGACTTGAAATTGATATTGAGATCGCGTCCTTGAATGTCATATTGTACACACAGGTCTCTAAGATTAGACTGAGACAACGGAATAATACGTCTCTATTTATACCCTTTTTCACTTCTTCTACATTCATCAATGTGGCTCGACCGGAGTGATAGCATGGCCTCATTGAAAACCGGCGTGAAATAACTTCAGTGTTGTGTTTTTCCATTCGAATTAGGCTACCAGAGGCCCAATCCCTCCCTAAATCCTCAAAAAGCGGCGACGCACGGCAACCATTGGGCGGCGCGGATTGCTTACCATCAGGTAATCGGTGTGCTCGTTTGCCGACCTATCCCATAAAAAAGATAGGCAATGCACTTGTAGCTCTTTCAATATTGCGGGTGTCCATAGATGGCGCTGATTGCTTACCATCAGGTAATCGGTAGGCTCGTTTGCCGACCTATCCCATAAAAAAGATAGGCAATGCACTTGTAGCTCTTTCAATATTGCGGGTGTCCATAGATGGCGCTGATTGCTTACCATCAGGTAATCGGTAGGCTCGTTTGCCGACCTATCCCATAAAAAAGATAGGCAATGCACTTGTAGCTCTTTCAATATTGCGGGTGTCCATAGATGGCGCTGATTGCTTACCATCAGGTAATCGGTAGGCTCGTTTGCAGTTCCAAAAAAATACCCGCGAAAAGAGATGGGATAATGACAAATGAATTCAAGAAAGCTGTCACCACACGCCATTTATAACCGTCATTTAATCACCAAGCCAATAATTTGCTCAACATCGGAGAAGGAAGTAATTGCTGAAGTAAGGTATGTTGAATCGTTTGACGTCAAACATGTAACAAGAAACTAATTTTGTACCTAAGTAGGATTCTATGTACTTATAAACGTATTGTAAACAATAATTATGCAAGACTGTCTCGTTGGCCGAGTGGTTAGAGTCCATTGTTGTCGAGCAGCAATTCTCCAATCAGACATTTTTTTTCCAGTTATAATATCCCAAATCGTGTTAGGTTATGCAATATGTAGACTTATCCACTATTACATAAGACTCATAATGTAAACAATCGCGTCAATCGTGCATTGTTCCGCCCCGGTTTTCTCTGAAGCTGTGGTATAACTTCGACTCATACCTCTCCCACACTTGCCAAAACAAGGATATAAACATATTGCATTTATACATATAAACATTTTCTTTGAGTGTTTCTTTTATATTTTTTCTTACATTCAAGATTGAATAAGTATCATTAAAATAATAATTAATTTAAAGTTCTTTTTATTGACACCTATACCTACTTGCAAACTAAATAACAAATATAATAATTATCTTTAATTTATATGTATACAAGTGATTCTAGACCGGCAATATTTTTCTTCACTATTGCCAACAAGTTGCTCAACCAAGTCGGCTGTGACCATGTTTTTATTATTATATACAAACTGCAAACATTCAATTCAAAAATCATCGAAGCTACTCTATTAAGCTATATGTAGATCAAGGTCTTAAAACCTAATTTATACTAATATTATAAAGAGGTAAAATTTGTAAGTTTGTATGTAGGGGGTAATCTTTGGAACCGCTGGTCGAATTGGCAAAATTCTTTCACTGATAGATAGCTACAATGTTCCTGCGTGCTATAGGTTATAAAACATCACGCTACGATCAAATGGAGCCGAGCAGCGGGTGAAACCACGCGAGAATAGCTATAGTCAAAATTTTAATTCGATTCCTGATTTGACATGACCTACTGTCATTTTGTGAAATAATGATACCACATAAAACAGTGTAGTGATGAACACAAAAATCGATAAACAATCAGTGAATCAGTTTCAGGAAGGCATTCAATAAATAACGGCTACCGAATAGTCTAAATGCGTATCCCATGTTGTGAAAGAAGAGAAAAAAATGAGTAAGCTAGATACGTTAATTGACAATAAATATCACAGACATAATTCATAATAAATGTTACAGAAAGTAACAGCGATAGCGATAGCGATGACAGCGACAATTTATAAAATGTCTGTTTTATTTGTCATGTTCCTTCATGATCACATTTTTTACTAATTTCACACACAATTACAAAAGAAAAGTCTCAGATCGTTAATTAATTGTCAAAACTAAATTATCGGTACAGAAATATTTTATTTTTTGATAAACTTAGTTTACGAGAGTAAATTTATAAACAACAGGAATCGATTCAGAAATATTCGATATCTATATCGAATAATTTCGCAACGTCACTATTTAGTACGTGTCATAACGTTGCCACACTGAAATTGTCAAATCTGGAATGGAATTAAAATTCCGAGTATAGTCATTTATATGCTTGATATACCTTAGGCATTAAGTTCGCCTATGTACCCATTGTGCATTCAGTTTAAATAAAATATACTTTCTTTGCGCAGGTATACGCGAGGCACACTATGTTTTCTATTATATCTCATATACCGTCAGACAAAAGGTTACATAGATAAGAAAATTTTCCAAATATTGTTTAGAGAGATAGATACAAACAATACAACTGACAGCTGTACAATTTTATTTTTCCTCGATAATGTTGCCGGCAACTGTTTTGTAGCCACATCATATGGTAGAAAATGTTGCCCGTTTAGGTTGACCCTTTGTAGATCCAGACATATGTATACCTCATTGAACTGTATAGTGTCTTACTTGTTGTACAGTCTAGTGAATATTTTGTATAACAATTTTGTTTTTAGTTAGTTACTAAGTTCTTAAACATTTGAAGTGTGGCTGTGTTTTATGTTGTGTAGTTGAGTTTACGTTTTTATAGTGTGAGGTAAGGTTTTTATTTGTTTTTTTATTGCAAAAAGGTATTGTTTTTGTTTTTATTTTGTGGTGACTTTGAAACAGCACTTATATTGTTTTCAAGGTCGTCGTCTATTTTGTGTCAAAATTCGTAGAAAACAAATTATAGAGTATAAATAATACAAAAATGTTTCTTTTCAAAAACAAAGTACCTATTTGTTATTGGAACTACAAATTGAAGGCAATCGGAAGGCGGAGTGTGCTAGGAAACTCCACTCTACCATAACTTATTATTTATTATTTCAAAAGTGTCTTTCTCCAATTACGAAGATTACCTGTCTTTAAATTTACATTATTTTGGGATTGGTCGATTCTATACAATTTGTTTGATTTTGAATGTTGTTCGAGTGTGAATTGAGCGTCGAAGTGCGCGGAAATTACAGTATAGAATGCCACATTTAACATCATCTCACACTTTATCTATCAAAATGTTTCCGTCAATTTAGTTCCAACTCGCAAGTGTAGCGCTAGTGTACTACTACATATTCACAGCGGATTCAGATTCGAAGTTTAGAATGACATCTTACAGAATCATATTGCAGGAACCGCTTACAAAACGTAGGCATTGTTTCGTTTTCAGATAGGCAGTGTTATCATTCCGGTCGTAGCAAGACTCTCTCATACTTTCCCAGACACTTTAATACAAACAATAAAAAAACAATGTACTTAATAATCAATATTACGCTAATATTATTATTTCTAAACTGATAACAATGCAGTTTCCTATGAATCATTGTGAAATACTCGATGTAATTGGAGCTAAGGAGAAATTGTGTTACATTGTTATGACTGTGAAATACAATATTATAACTGTTGTACAAAAGAGGGTTTGCTTTATAAAGATTGATAGTAGGCGCGTTGGAGGCCGTAGTTAAAAGGATTGAATAAATGAAACTTCGCCTTTTTTGTGCGTTTATTATAGGGCGACAAGCTAGCAGACGGAAAACTTGATAGTTAATATTGGCGTCGCCCATAACAACCTTTTATTTTGTCTTGGGACTTCTTCCGCCCAGGGTAAGGCGAGAGAGAGAGTCAGACTCTTACTGATTAAAAACTCCCCCGTTCGTTTTCCTGCTCTGGGCCGAGATCGCGGTGCCACATTGCGCTTAGGCCACAACCCCGGCTGAACATCAACCCTATCTAATGGTTCTTTGAGGCGCGCGCGGAATGCTACACGCCGTACGCTCGAGTCTTGTTCTGGTCGGGCGGCGACCTGCCCTTACTCGCCGTCCGCAGACCTGCGCTTACGGTGGCCGGAAATCATTTCTCGATCCCCAACGCCCGCAATGTCTACTGTGGCGGCTGGGGCGCGAGGAGGATAGTTCCCTCACACGCTCCTCCCCCTCCTTTGCCAGCATCACTGCTTCGCAGAAAGAGAAGATGGCTTCCCAGTTCCTCTCGCTATGAACCATGGCCTCGACTAAGGCCGGGCGCGAGAGGTCGCCGCCGCCGGCCCATGGTCACCTACAGTACCAGAAGAGTTGCTTGCGAATGCTTTGCCGGTCCTTTGCACTCCGATTAGGGTTGCGGAGATCTACGAATAGGCCTGTAGCTCTTCCTGGTTTTATTGGCTTTTGCGATACCCAACCCACCAAGTATAGAAGGAATATTGACAAAACACGACATGTAACTATAATATTTTAATTAATGGTATCCAAACCAAGATTTGTTATATACATAGCAAATCAGAAACCAGGCTGCTAGTAATTACCGATATATTTTTTTATATAACTTTTATATTATTTCAGAAGCAGTGATCTCATTCTTCTGTACTTCAGAAGATCACAAGAAATCCAAAAATTTAACCATAGACACCATAATGGACGACACAATAAGAGAACCAGAAGATCATTTCATAAGATTCGGGCCAGAAGTTGTTGAAGAAATCAGAAGAGAATACAACCTTGATAAGAAAGAAGTTCGAGAAGAATCTATCGCTATTATAGAGAAATGGTTGAAATCGCAGGATCATTTAGTAAAGAAAGATTTTAGTAAGTATTGCTACTTTATGAATATCACAGGCAACAAGCTCAATAAGCGATTCAGCTAACACTTGAATGATTAGATTAACGATACAATTAATCATTTAATTGAATGGCCGAGTTTTTTATTCAGTCGTTATTTCAAGGGTGAAAGAGTTGTTATCAAAAAGGTTAAATAAATTTAAAATTCCGACCCGTCAAAAATCTAAATAAACAGAATTACACTACCAGATAATTATAATCAGACTAGGTCGTTAATTAATTTTCTCGATCAACTAGTTGGCTGCTACTTGAATGTTACATTATTACTGTTACAATACTACATTATAATATAGTGGCTGCTTCGTTTGTAGTCGATTGAGCGCATGTGCAACTGCCGATCAAGGTGTCTAGGATCAGTTCCCAAATAGGACGAATTGATCTTAATGTAAATGAAATGAAATCGTTTATTCGTAAACATAGATTAGGTATATAAAGTTGTTTGACTGATTGACATACAAAGCAATACAGCGAGTTCGTCTATGTTTTGCCTAGAAGCATACAAATTCATAAGTAGAATTATACATATAAATTGAGATAATAAAAATACATTCATAGTTATTTAAGAATCCACACTTACTGTAATTTTCAGATTTTAGAAAAATTGCCTCAGTAGCATTGATTTGTTTAATGAAATTTCGTTGCCTCATTCTCGGAGTTACTGTTGTGTCGTGGGTGCGTTTACAATTATACAATTTCACATACCCATCACACCCAGACGCGTAACAACAATTTGTGGACTACGTAAACGTTCCGTTCAGGAATTGATTCTGTGACACGTTGTACGGCAGTCTAGCCTAGCCACTGAACCAACCGTGAAGTCAAATATTCGAATCAAGACATCTCATATTAGAAAGAACTTGACTGGCGAAAGACAGCTATAATTTTGGAATCGATGTAGGTACTTTTGATTTGAAGGCATGGGAAAATTTCGTTTTACACCCCATCTGTGTCGTCATAGTTTTATTTTACTAATAATTTACTCATATTTTATAGGTAAAGCGTACATAGAGCGATGTATAGTTACAAGCAAGAGTTCCTTAGAAAGGACGAAGAAACAGATTGACAAGATGGCAACGTTCAAAACATTAGTTCCAAAGTACTTCCAAGTTACTAACATTCTTGACAGTGATGTAACTCCTATTTTAGATACAGGGTAAGTTCAAAAAGTTAAATAAAATAATTATGTAACTCTAACTCTAGTGTGGAAGAGCCATACTTCGGCACGAATGGGTCAGCTCGACTGGAGTGAGACCACGGCCTCACAGATAATCGGCGAGAACTCTCTATGATGATGAACAACTCCTTTGATGTGATTCGTGGTGTGAGTCTGGTTACCAGAGGCCAAATGCCCAAAAGACCCTTGGTTCTTTTGGGCATTTGGCCTCTGGACCCTTGGCTGCCCTTTGGTATTACGAGTGCCCGTGTATATTAGCAATTTGGAAAATGAGGAGGGAGGCAGTATTAGGCCTCCGATAACCAGACTCACACACGAGTGTCAATTGGCAGCGTGGACTGCTAACAAACAGGTCATAGCTGCGAAAACACACGACAAAGTTTGGAAGCACGAAGATTCTTATCCCACTTGTGTCATTTTATTTGTTAAATCTAATTTAGAGGGGAGCTTGAAGGTTTGCAATACAGCTCCAAACGTGAAAGTATGGTGGTAAAACTCAAGTTATTGGGGTAATACAATGTAAGGGTCAGCGTATTCGACATTTTTTAAAAACAATAATCAACATGATTTCTTAGTTTAAAGAGGTGTTAAATGGACTTATTCCACTTTTTAATGGCATCATTTCAACTCATAATTATTGTGTTGTAAATATTTTTTTTTGAATTAAAATATTTATTGTATATTTTTTCAGATATCTGACTCTTCTACCAACACTTACCAAAGAGTACCACAGAGTGTCTGTACTTAAACTAAAGTCAACTGTAGATGTCAAGTCTTCACATTTTGTCCAGCTCTTCAAAGTTATTGTAGTTGTGAGTATAAAGATAATAATTATTGAGCTAATCCGCTTAGCGAAAGCATAGTTTATGCTTAAACCGTGCAATAAGTACCATAATTTGCTCAGCTATGGGTGGCAGGCTGATGATGATGATGATCGAATAATGAAAGTGAATTTTGCAATTTACATTCAGCCAGCTGGCCAACAGTTTCCCAAGAGAAAATCGCAATGGACCACCCAAAAGAAGCCCAGTATAAGCCAATTTGTCCCAAAAAAATGTTTGATTTGTAAATCTGACGATATATTTTATTCCGAGTTGTGTGCCGAGCAAAACCTTTTAGGTTTTTTTTTTAATGCAATAGGTCGGCAAACGAGCAGACGGATTACCTGATGGTAAGCAATCAGCGCCGCCCATGGACACACGCAACGGAGGAGTTACAAGTGCGTTGCCGACCTTTTAGGGATCATGGATTTGGAGATTTAGGGATTGAGGAGGGATTGAGGGAGGGGAAGGATTGGGCCTCCGGTAACCTCACACACACGGCGAAACACAACGCTGTGGTTGTTTCACGCCGGTTTTCTGTGAGGCCGTGGTATCACTCCGGTCGAGCCGACCCATTCGTGCCGAAGCATGGCTCTCCCACACTCAATATAGGTATAATAATTCTAACTTATTTTTTACAGGCAGCAGAATATTTGAAATCGCACGATTACTGCAGGGGCTACGTGCTTGTATGTGACTTAATGGATGCTAATACAGCCGATGTACTCTCGAAACTTAATTTAGTTGAGTTGCAGCAGTTTTTACCGATACTTACCGTAAGTTTTACATTTATTTCTTACAAAATTAATTAGAGAAGATAGGGTAAACAAATGAATAAGAAGGAGAGTCACATTGGGACGTCTGTCTAGTAAATGATGGTGTAATACATGGCCAACACATTACTTCAAAAAATTTCTAGTATTATCCCCGAATTTAAACTAAATACTTACATTATATAATAATTAAGTAATAAATTGTGTAATTACCCTAATATAAACCTACGTTAGTTTGCACGAAGCATATGTAAGTTTGTGTCCGTATGTGTGTATGCTACCATGCTAAGATAGGATGATAATTATACAGCTTGCAAAAAATACTATTTTTTATTGTAACACTGGTATCAAATTTTTTTTTCTCTTTTCCAGGAAGGATACGGAACAAAAATAAAAGGGATCATATTCTTAACCAGTTCGAAATTCATCGATGGTTTCATAAAGATAATAAAGCCGTTCTTCTCTGAGAAGATAGCTAATCGATTACACGTGGCCCCAACTTTGGAAGCGTTGAGAGAATTATTGTCAGAAGACATTCTTCCAGAAGAATACGGTGGGAAGGGGCCTTCGTTAGCTGCTTTGCATGGTTAGTATCGTATCGTTATTATTGCCCCACCCTTGATTTTTTTCATGTAAAAGTTAGATACACATAAGTGTATAAATGTGGGAGAGCTATGCTTCGGCACGAATGGGTCGGCTCGACCGGAGTGATACCACGGCCTCACAGAAAACCGGCGTGAAATAACCACAGCGTTGTGTTTCGCCGTGTGAGTGAGGTTACCGGAGGCCCAATCCTTCCCCTCCCCCAATCCCTCCTCAAGCCCTAAATCTCCAAGTCAATAATTTCAAAAGGTCGGCAACGCGCTCGTAACTCCATCGTTGCGAATGTCCGTGGGCGGCGCTGATTGCTTACCATCAGGTAATCCGTCGTTTGCCGACCAATTACATAAAAAACATATCACACCCAGCCCTGGAATAACATTTTTTTTTAGATTGTCTCACACTAGTGTCTACTCCTGTGTTAGGTTCTCATGCATGAAGGTGCGGGTCCGAGTCCTGGCAAATACCAATGTGACTTTTTCCGAGATACATATACTTTCTAAGTATATTTACATACCACTAAAATGCGGTGAAGGAAAACATCGTGATAAAACTTGGACCTAAATTCCTAATTATAAGTTTGAAATATCCAAACGAAGTTGAACAAGCGTGATGATTAATGCTACAACTTTCTGCGTGCGAGGAAAAGCCTTTGCTCCGCAGTGGGCACTTATAGGCTGATGATGATGATCAGAGAATAGTAAATGAAACAATGAATTTATTTTTGTAAATACTATAGGCCTATTATATAAACAGAATAAAAAAAAACTAGATGAAGCCGGTAGTAGCCGGAAGTAGTCAACAGAATCGACATAAAGCCATACGCCAAATAAATCCCAGACACAGAACTTATGACTAATAGTTTTTACTGAGAATCGACAGTAATTCTTTTCAGGATGACTGACATAAAAATATTTATGAATGATATCTTCTAATTTCCAGAAAAACTGGTCAAGCAATTGAGCTCGGAAAAACACCAAGCCCTAATGAAAGAGATGAACACAGCTCGCACTGACGAGACGAAGCGACAGCGGGATAAATTTAATGAGCAATACATGGGGATGCCTGGTACATTTAGAACCTTAAGCTTGGATTAAATTAAAGATTACATTGTGGTATTTTGAATTTTTATTTATTTCGTGACTTTGTTCGCGTGGAATAGTGACTTCCTGCGGATTTTTGGTTAAAAAACTATCCTAAGTCCTTTCTCGAGTTCCAAACTGTTTCTTTACCAAAATTCACACAAAAAGGTTCATATAGGTTGTATATAGGCGTGAAGAAGACAGACAGACAGAGTAAGTTTCGCATTTATAACATTAGTTTGGATTTGTTTTTTTGGACGTGACGCCTTTATCTCATCTGGCGGTAAAAGATGGAGCACGACTACCCATAAGCGGCCTATTTAATAGGGCCTTGTAGACACCACGCGAATGGCGGGCTACCCTAGCTCACCGTCCGCAGACACGCGCTTACGCTGTCCAGAAATCGTCACTCAATACCAAACGTGTCGCGACTGCGGCGGTTTGGAGCGTGATGAGAGTCTTTAAAACCTGGACTTTTAATTTCTAATTATAAATTTGAAATCGCCAATCTGCATTGAGCAAGCCTGATGATTAATGCTCATACCTTCTCCATTCTCCATGTGAGAAGAGGCCTTTGCTCAATAGTGAGCACTTATAGGCTGATTTTTTTTTATGAGATACATCGGCAAACGAGCAAATGGATTACCTGATGGTAAGCAATCATCGCCGCTCATGGACACCCGCAACAACAGAGGAATTACGAGTGCGTTGCTGACCTTTTGTGGATTAAGGATTTAGAGATTTAGGGATTGTGAGAGAGGAAGGATTGGGCCTCCGGTGATCTCACTTACACGGCGAAACACAACGCGGTGATGATGATCTCTTGTCTTTTTACCTATAATATCGGCGCGTTACTACCTATATATATTCACAGATTCGGTGTTTAAAAATTGCTATGTTACTCTTATATTTTCACAATTTCGTATTGACAATTGATTAACAATACTTTTTCCCTCACAAGCCTCGAGGGAATGTGATTTCCTCGTTTCCCTTACAATGTAGCCTTAATGACGTTTTTATCGTCTGTATAAAATATCACAAATATTTGAACAGCCATCCCATAAAATCTGGCGAAACGACTTTTTCTTACTTGAGTAAATAATCAAAGATGTTGAGTTACTGGATGTACTTTGATTTGAAGGTTCTTGTTTTTTTTTAAGGGGTGGGTACATTTATTGAATTAAATTAAATTCTTTATTTCACAACAGAGATCGATAATATGAAAGGGTAAGTAATGTGTTATTCTAAAGTTAGTAATATATATATAATACTAGCTTTTGCCCGTGACTCCCTTCGCATAGAATAGTGGCTTGTATGTTTAAAGTGACCTGCTGGTTTTTGGTATAAAAAATCCATAGATTGTTAGTGTACCTTACTACTACCGTACATTGTTAGTTACCAAAAAGTTCTTATGCACTATATTAGTATAGTTAGTAACCTATAGCTAATTTCACCCAGTGTCTCTGTATCAGACAATCCGGCCTATGAGCAATCATTTTCAGGATGCTGTTACAAGTGTTGCGCAAGCGTTGCAGTACAACAGCGTCCTGAAAACGTTGTTATATTGTACACGCAGGACGTAGTAAGCCCGGTTTGTATATGACTCTCACAGGCCGCTCGAATAGAAAGACTGGCAGAACGCCTTAAATAAAGTAATTTTGACATCTGACGACGTTAATATAAAAACTATCCTATGTCCTTTCCCGAGTTCCAAACTAAGTCTGTACCAAATTTCACAGAAATCGGTTCAGTAGTTTAGGCGTGAAGAAAAGACAGATAGACAGAGTTACTTCCGCATTTATAATATTAGTTTAGATTTCTCAATTACTGACATGAATATCACGACGCACATGTAAGAAAAAGTAAGAAATAAAATGCATTAATTTGTAGATCACACATAGAGATTAGGATTTTCTACTGTGTCATGGGTGCGTTTATAAACATAAAAATTCCCATACACAAGCCTACCCACACCCGTGGATCACACAAAGTGTTACTCCGTGCGGGCATCGAATCTGCGTCACACAGTCGCCTAGCCACCGTCAATCATGCAGTTTGGTGTATGACGCATAGACAAACAACAATTATAACAAAAACTGAAAATAAACGACTACAATAGGTGTGGGAGAGCCAAGCTTCGGCACGAATGGGTCGGCTCGACCGGGGTGATACCACGGCCTCACAGAATACCGGCGTGGCCCAATCCCTCCCCTTCCCCTATCCCTTCCCAATCCTTATATCCGCAACCCCCATCCCCAAAAGGCCGGCAACGCACTCGTAACTCCTTCGGTGTTGCGGGTGTCCATGGGCGGCGCCGATTGCTTACCATCAATCAGGTAATCCGTCTGCTCGTTTGCCGACTTATACCATAAAAAAAAGAAACGCCAAACGAGAAGAAAGTACATAACGTGAATACGTGTCACACCAACGTAAACCAGTCCTCGATTCCGAAAGCCGAAGATGACGTAGCGACTGGAATATTTTACAAATTATAAAGTAAGCAATCATTTCTACTTGCCCAGTATCCTGATTTTGTTTTCATGTATAAAGAAAAAAAAAGTTATAGAAAGAATAACTATTAGAAAAATAGAAAAAAATAAACTTCTAGAAAAAAGGGATTAGAAAAAACATTAATGACATTCAAATAGTAAAAAGAATGACTCGTCAATATTTTAAAACATTCACCACTATTTTTAATTTTCAAAAATGGAACGTTTTATAAATTACTACCATCCATCAATATGAAAAGAATTCGAGCTTCGAATTACAGAAGAATTAGTTATTTAAAATTTAAAGAAGCAATTTGCTGTCGTTCCAAATTTAAAAAATAATGCTTTACTTTTAAATTTTTTTGTAGGATTTGAAGATTAATGAAATAGGTCAATTAATTTGCTGATAGGTATTCATTAAGCACGGTTTTTAGAATTAAAACGAAAGAAATAAACAATTTATCATTATATTACATATTTTACAGAATCAATTAAGTCTAAAATAAAAGCCATGTCATCGCGCTGGTAAATCATTAATTGGGTCTATAGGTGCTTATTTTATTTTATTTCTTATTTTTTACCTTTGTCCTTATACAACGCAATGCAAATGGTTGGATACAGTATTGGAGAGACATGCTTCGGCACGAATGGGTCTGGACGACCGAAATAGTGATACCACGGAATCATGCCGCTTCGATGGCGTGAAAAAACGAATGCTGTATATTTCGACCTTTTGGTGGATGTTACCGACCCATGAAACCAAATTTCTTTCTAATTAGTAGAATTCATAGGTATCTACACTTTGAAATGAGCAAATAGCTTCACTATAAGGCTGACCAGGCAGACATTTGTCTTTATAACTTTTTTTATTTAATTATTTAGCTTAGATAACGTTCCAAAGTGGATTTAATTTAAATACTGTAGTTTCCAACTAGTCAAATTCAATACTTTTATCCAAATGTCAAAATCGATACTTTGTTTAAAAGACTGAGTTATGACGTCATAGTTTTTCTGCGTCAAATAGTTTACTTATTTTTTTAAAAAATAGCTAAAAACATCTAAAATTCAGTGTATCGATCGATCGATGAATAAAAGTATAGTTATTTTTCAACATACAATGTTATATTGTATCAATATTTTATTGTATTGAAATTTCGAATTAATTTATTTTTGACCTAGGAAAAATTACATAAATTATATTATGTTAATATCCTGATCATCAGCTGTAGAATCCGTAACTACATGGCTGAGGTATTTAAATTGAGTGACAAAACTTTTAAAGGTGAATTACGAAGCTTTACAGGTGGAATATATGCAGGTGTATTATTTCGTACCTTAAACACAATTACTTGTGTTATAGCTCAGACCATGATCCTTCGTATATCTCTCACAGACAGCCAACAGTTTCCTCAGACCACACATGAATGGGCTGAACAAAAACATGTAAATTTATTGGTCTAAATAAAATAAATGATATCGTGATGACTTTTGATTTCGTCAAAAACCTCTCTCCCATATCATCAAATCTATAACATCTAATAGGGCCTTTTTTTGTGAGGGGAAAATCATCAAATTACTTCTCCCGCCCAGGGCCGGGCAGGAGGGAGTGTCAGACTTTTACTGACTAAAAACCCCCCTGTTCCTTCTCCTGCTCTGTGCCGAGGTCGCGGTACCTCATTGCGCTTACCCCGCAAATCTAATAGGGCCTAGAAAGCAGTTAAGATACCTCGTATAGTATGAAGATTGTCCATAGATGGCGCTGATTGAACATCAGACAATTCGTCAGCTCGTTTGCCGATCTTTACAAAAAAAAAAGATTAATTTACCACATTTTCTACAATAAAAACGATGACATACGCCAATAAAATATGAGAGAAAAATGAAAAGCATTAGTAGCTACATGAAATTCGCATTGTGATCCATTAAGAACAATACCTTTGCTTAATATAATTATGTAGATAAAAGGTTTTATTATATATAGCTAGCAGATAGAATTGAATATGGAATTGGCGAGTAAAAAAAAAGGATTATATATCATACGTATATTTATATGTAATGGTCCCAAAGGACTAAAGAGGATGTGTAGACCTGTAAGGTTAATAATACTGGGAATGAAATATTAATATTTTGTTTCTAATATTAAGATATGTCTGCTCGTAGTGGCTTGAACTCCCGCTTTTTAAGCATGACCAATGTGTTTTTATTTTCAAAGTCAATAAATACGAAAGTAACTTTCTTTGTCTGTGTATCTGTCTTTTCTTCGCGCCTAAACTACTGAACCCACTTCTGTGAATTTTGGTACAAACATGGTTTGGAACACTCGAGAAAAGACATAGGATAGCTTTTATATCAAAAATCTACAGGAAGTCTACTGACTTCCTGTAGATTTTCACGTCACGTCACGTCACGCAAACGAAGTCGCGGGCAAAAGTTAGTTTCAACTAAAGCTTGAACAGACACTTATAAAACGTCAAAACAGAATATAACATAGTGTGTTCTGTTAATCTGTTCGTCAGTGAAGAAGTGTGAGAGAGCAATGCTTCGA